AAAAACAAAACTTGCGGAGAATGGAGAGGAGAACATAATGATTACCCAGTAGTATTAAGAGGAGCGGCCAGCTGTAGCGATTTAAAGGCAGATACGGAACACGGTCACTTGTTGATTAAAGAGAGTGAGCAATCGCGGCAGCTTTTGTTTTGTTCCGGTTTAGTGATGTTCAATCAGTATTTTTCAACATACGTGCAGGATTTGGAACAGGTGTAGCATTTGTTTGCAGAGAATCTTCTCAGAGTTAATCACACAGAAATTAGTGGAAAGTAATTACACGAATGTTAATGAGAAATAAGGTTTAGGAGCCTTTTGATGCTATCGGTTTAGTGGAACGGTTAGCATGGCGTTTGACTGGCGGTAGTGAAAATCTGGATGTTGTCGATTTGAAGAATAAATTTGAGAAAGAAATTGGTAATTTACAAATGATCAGTGACCAGTTCCAGGTAAGTGCTTTTGTATCGATTGCTGCGTGATAATTAGTTCTAATTAGAATAATTATTTAGTCAAAAATTACCCATTTGGAGCAGCAGTTAAACCGCGACAAAAGCAGCCACCTAGAGTCACTGCGCCGATTACACGAGAAAAATGCGGATGCATTTGACAAGCTTAAAGTAGTTTGGAGCAACTTCTAATCGAACACGAAGGTTTTTTTAATTTTATAATCGTTAATTTATTTTCAGCAACTCGACGGTACGATGCAGACCGTCTCTACAAAAGTGGTACATCTCGGGGATCAGTTAGAGAGCGTACATATTTCTCGTTCACGAGCTGATGAAGCTCTTCAGCTCATCAAGCATTTCAACGAATTTATGGCGGATCAACCTCTTAGTTCTGAAATATTTACAGATCCCGATAGAGTAAGTTAATGTTCAGTAGTAGCAGAGCAATTTGCAGTGGTAACGTGTAACACCATTTATCAGTCTGGTAAGGTCTCACGATTTTTCAGCTTTTGGAGTCTGCATCAATGATACAAAAACTGTATTCAATTTCACAAGAACTTCTGAAGGAAAAATTTCACGCTGTTCAAGTTAGGATAGCGCATAAATATGATGAGATCGAAAGGTTGATGATTGAAGAATTCGTTGCTGCCCACAGGACAGGAAACAGACAGAGGATGCACGAAATTGCTTCTATCCTTGTAGATTTCAAGGTCTTCTTTTGTAGAATACGTTCTCATGCTTGGATCCTAGTTGTTCTCATCTTGTTTTACTTTATGTTGATTTAATTCTTAAACTGTTGATTTTTTAGATTTATTAACTATCTTCATAGTTTTTCTAAACCTTGGAAATCATTTAAGTTTGTATACGGAATGACACTGCAGGGTTACTCGCAATGTGTAGATGCTTATATAGAACATATACAGTTGAATGCCTTCAGAAGTAATAATGTTTTTGATGATATGGTTGCTCTGTGCGGGAAAACCCAGGCAGTAATAGTCAAGATTTTCCCAAATGCACAACAAGTCATGTCGAAACTTGTCCTAAACTTGTTTCACACGAAACTACAAGTAAGTCACTCTTAAAAACTGACGCAAATGTGTTTAAAACTTTTGCAAAAAAACTTGTTGAAAAACGCAAATGTCTTTTTATCCAGCTTTTCATATTTATAGTCTGGCTTTACAATATGCAATAATGAAACGATTTAAAAAGCAGTTTTAATCGTAAAAACTAAATCAGCTAGCTTTTGATGGCTGGTTGAATCTGTGAGTCTTCTGAAATTAAATTTATAGTAAAGCTTTTTTGAAGCTCTTAACAAAGGGCGGCTTTTGAGTGCTCTAAATGAAAATGTTTGTTTAACAGACTTCGCTCAGCTATTTACGAATTTGGTGATACATTTTTATGAAACAGTAATTTAAAGATGAATTTCTGATTAAGGCTGATCTCATTAGGAATCTTTATGGTCATTGTTCAGAAGCAGTGTTACTATTTTGCATCTCAGTTTTATTCTGCAAACGTTTAAAAATGCGCATAAAGAGATTGAAGCAAACAGTTGTATAAAGAGAAAACAAAAAGTATTAGTAAAGTACTCCGGTCTTGAATTTTTTGAGTCATCTTAGTTTCGATAGCTAAAACTAAGAAGGTTAATGACAAACTCTGTTATAACGCGCTTCTTGCAGGAGACCGTCGTAACCAAACTTGGAGACCCAGAACAGGATTTGGAAAATTACTTGGTTTCTCTTGCAGATCTTTACTCGAGGTGACCTTAACTTCACATTTTTTGGACTATCCTGCTATTCTTTTTGTTCTTTTATATTTGAAGATATTTTGTTGCTTTCAAAAAAGCAATTTCAAGGACACAAAAACTGGTAGTGAACCTCTCTTCTTTTCGGATTGGAGGTTCTGATACGCATTTTCTCCCAAAACTGACTCACTCAGTATTTGGTCGGTATCTTGAAACTTATCCAAGGTTTGTATTTTTTAAGTAGCTGATTTTTAACTTCTTGACATTTACATACTCTTTTCAGTTACATGTGTTGACGGCTGTTTTACTAAACTTTACTTAGTTTGTCGCAATTACTTGAAAAATATGACTAGGAAGTTTAGCTTCTTGTCCTCATTTTGCTCTTGGGAATTCATTTTTTACTTTCCTTGAAGAAAAAAATAACAGGTATGAACAGCAGTATCTTACGGAACAGTGCAGTTCTATACTGAGTCGGTTTTATGAGTCGAAAGGCCACCAGAAAAAGCAACTGCAGAGTGGCGGGTACAGTTACTTCAATCTATTCTCTAACTTTTAGTTTACTGAACCATCATTTATTACTGAATAAATATCATTTTTTTGTCCTTGCAAGTCAACTTGTTAGCTAAATGGTGTTAAGTTTCCAGACTCCAAGATTTGAAACGTGATATTCAGGCACGCTTACTAAATGTAGAAACATACGGTGGAGAAACTTTCTTATCGGAAGAATTGGCAATCAATATTTTGCAAGAAACGAAGAATGCCTTTAACAGAGTTCAACTGGTGCGTTTTGGTATAAAACAGTACTAGCTTTTTTTAGTGGTATGTTTATTAATTAAATCATAAAAAATACCTGAGGAAGTATTATAGAAATCTGAAGCACTTTTGGACTGTTTTGAATAGTTTTTTCCAAGTTGTAAATTTCTTTGCAGTTATGCGAAAAAGAAGAGGCGTCACGCATGACCGAAGTTATTTTTGATATGCTATTAAAATATTTGTATAATGAACACGTTGATTACGCTATTGATTTAGCTTTGGCTGGTTAGTTTTTTTTAAGACTGTCACTGCTTTGTTTTTTTTCGTCTACAGGTGTCTTATTTCTGAGCAAGCGCAGTTACCCTAAAGATTTATACCTTTTTATAAACGTTTTGATTACTTTATGTTACATTGTTTTAGGAATATCTTTGGCTGAACCGAAATCAAAGCCTCCGAATCACTTTTTCTCAGTATTACAGCAAGCTGGTGCGATTACACATCTTTTTGAGAAGCAGTATGACGACTCTATATTTCTCATCGTGAAGTAAAGAAACTGTCTTGACACGTCGTTTGTATAAAGACCTTTCAAACTGATAGCCCTCTAACATGTGGCCACACAATTCTATCAAAAATACGAGCGTTTAGAATCATCTTTTTAGAGATACACCAGTTGAAGCTCATTGTTCTAAGAAACGCCTTGAAGTGATGCAGAGTGCAGAAAATCGTTTAAATTTGGGTTTGGAAAGACAACTGAATGCTTTAGTTGGTTACATACGATTTATCCTTATGTCAGAGCAAAAGAAAAACGATTTTAAACCCGATAATGATTTTCAACAAATTACAGTAATGTCAAATGTACGTCTAATGACATTCTCTGTGTCGAAATTCTTAACTTTTATTCCTACAACGTAGTAAATTGTAGTAATTTCATATCCTAATATTTTCTTTTAAAACCTCTTATAAACTTTACAGGAAAATATTTTTTAAGGCTTGTGGTTTGGTTGTTAAATACTTGTCGTCAGAAGTGGCAGTAATTTCCGATAGTGTTGATGGTGGCAACTTAACAGCAGTTATGAAAGAATTGGGAATGCGTTTTTATAGAGCAGTTTTATCCCATATTTATCAGTTTACTTACAATACTCAAGGAGCAATGCTGCTACTATGCGACATCAATGAATACAGGTAGGATAATTAGTTTCTTATTTGTTTATTTATTGTAGTAATGTTTTTTACTTGTTTTTATAGTATTATAAGTTTGGAACTTTAAATAGATTTCTCTCCCTATGACTGATTAAGATTTTTATAGGTTGTTCTCTTATTGAAATATTGTAGGAAATGTGTCATGAATTGGAAGATTCCAGAGTTGAGTAAACAGTTCGAATCGTTGCACGCATTAGCCAATCTTTTAGTTGTTGTTCCTGAAAATCTCAGCGAAGCATGTGCGTCTCAGCTACTGGTAAATTTTTTAAATTTATCTGAGCCGCATTACATTTTAGTTTTACATTTTTTGATCCTCAAAAAGTAATTATTAATGAGAATCAGATTTAGGTTCCAAAGTAATGCACTCTCAAAGTCTTGAATTAACAACTTTCTTTTTATCCGTTTAAAAATGTGAACAACAAATTGCAACTGAATTTTCAGATTGATGTTGATCGGTCGATGGTGATGAATTTTGTACAGCTAAGGGTAGACTACAAAACGGCCAAACAGTTCTTAACTGTAATGTAATAACGTGTCTTTGTGTTAATGTTTTTGTTGTGCTAGAACTACGGTGCTTTCCCAATTCAGCACTAGAAGATGCAGAGGTGCTTAAACGATTGTGTCTTTATAAATGTTGTAATATGTCTCACATTGCTCACAAAAATGTGGTTATTTGAGAAAAAGTTTAAGTTGGTTTTCTAAGAATATTAAGTTACGAACCAGTTTCATTTCTCGTTGTATAAAGGAGGTCTTCTTTATTTGGCTATATATAATGAAACAGTTTTGACAATTTAGGCTGAGTTGCTCAGGTTTTGCTTGCGAAATTTTGGATTAAAGTAGGCATGAAATCGTGGTAGTAGACGGGATTTTCAGTTGCAATTATGTATTATATGAAATCATGTGGTAACCATGGGTTTTTCGTCTTTTTTACTGTTGTTTGCCTATTGGAGCATTTATTAGTTTAGAAAATGGGAAGCTGGAAAATTTATTTAAAAAGTGATGGAGTGGTGCTGTACTGCCGTATGAGTTACGTTTTTACTTTACTTTATATGGATTTAAATTGCAATTAGCTTTCATTACGATAAAGCTATACTTTTTTAGCTGTTTTGGATAAGTTTCACTTTTACTGCTTGGCCATCACAATATTACTGAGCTACAGATCACCACCACTTATTTATTTCATTTCATGCTCATACTAATGTATGTAAATGTTTGATTATAATTTATTATTACAGTCTATGCAGTCTTTTAATTGCGTCAGGAGACCTGAGCAAGCAGTTTAGCATTTAACTTAACTGATATTTCATCATAATTTCATCGCAGGTGTAGCTACGGCTCGGTTAAGTCAATTGGAGCAATGTTCTTCCTGCGCTTTCTGCTTCTAAGATCGGTTTAGAAAATGTGTCGTGGTTTTTATCCCTCTTGAATAAGTTTGATGAAAGTTACCATAGTTCTCCTGTATACAGTTAAAAATATGTTTACAGTGACTTTGAAGAAATTAAGGTTCTCCGAGAATGGCTAACGAAGCAGACAAGTATCGCGAAGAGGGGAACGAGCATTTTAAAAAAAAACGTTTTCACAATGCCATCGAGTCTTATACAAAGTCACTTCATTACGGAGTTACAGCAACAACTCTCTCAAATCGAGCTCAAGCATATCTAAACTTGAACCAGTAACTATTTTCCCAATCATCTAGCCGAGCAAATTAAATCTGATTCAAGTATTGAAAATTGGCCCTTATTGTTAACCGAGTATTTCTAGGAGTGGAAAGGCCCTGATGGATGCAAGATTGGCAATTGAGAAGGATAGCAAAGTTGCTAAAGCGTTTTACAGGTTGAATCTTTTTCAGTGCTTCTGGTTGGCTTTTAGTCCTCAAATTCTTTGAATTATTCTTATACTATGCATTAGACATGGTCTGGCGTTAATCAATTTTGGTTTATTCGAGCAAGCTTCCACTGATTTGGTTACAGCGTTGAAGTTAATACCGAATAATCAGCAGATTGAAAAATTACTGGAAAATATTTGTGAGAAGGTAGGTGTTTCTTTAAAGCTTTCATTACCTTGGGTATTGAACTTGATTTTCAAGTTTTCAAGTGAAGGTTTTTTAATTTTTTCCTGAAAATGAGTTTTTATTTTAGGCAACAGTGACGGAACAAAGAGTTTTTCCGGTCAATAAATGCGAAGAAATTCGTTCTTCAGAGCCTCTAGTTGATATCAAAGTGGAAATTGATGAGTCGGGGCTGGAACCTATAAGACTCAAAGAGCAGGTAAACTTGTCTTATTAATTTAATTTGTTTTCATCAGAGATTAAAGGAAAAAATAAAACTAAAGAAACATAACAGGAATTACATATTGAAAATGGTGATCGTCCCGTACCTTGTGTTCCTTCAACTTCTTATCAGTTTCTGGCTGATTTTGCAGCGTTGGTGAATACGCCGAGGAAGTTTGCAGAGTATTTCCTGGTGACTGGTTTCTGATACACGTTTTTTTAATAGTTGTGACGCAAAAGACACTTTTTTTTTATTGAAAAAGCTTTTTTGCTTTCAAGCAAGTTTGACAACTATATGTCAGTAACAAAGGTGATTAGGCAATTGGTGCTGCCGATTACAATAGACTTCTCGATGACATTCTTGAAGCTGATATGATCTCAGCATTAATTGATGGTTCGCTACTTTTAACTAAATGTGATGATAACGGCGCTGGTAATATCACGCTTAATCAAATTGCTAACGCCTTTGTTGCGCTAACAAACGTTAAGGGGTTCTCCTTGGCAGCTATGTTCCTCAGCGACCTCACAAAAGCTGGTAATGGTTTAAAGTCACTTTTATTAATGAAATAGTAGCACATTTCTTTAAACTGGCTTGTTATTTTTGTCGGCTTTTGCTGCATCGGTTACGAGGAAAAATGGCATTCAGTAAGTAAGGCTTCACTGGTCATAAACCCTAATTTCATGAGGTGTTTCAAAAGAAATCTCTTTTTTAGCCTTCCGCAATCTTCTGGAGAAAAATTCGTTTGATTCTACTGTTGTCCAATTTTTGTTTAAAGCTTACAATTTATGAAGAATTGTTGATCTCGAGTGGACGGCATGAAAGCTTTTTATTTCTGATACAGAAGCTTTAAACAATTGGTTAGGACCTTTACGATTTGGATATTAGATATGGTATGGTGAGATGAAATGGCGAAAATACTGTGGCAACGTTTTTTCTTTATTCTGAAAATTATATAATATTTTTCATTCTACTTTAAGGCTGACCCAGTTATTTGTTGAATAAGGCATCATTTGCGTGGTGCATGAGCAGCAATAATTGTTGGTCCTAAGTTAATGTACTTGCTGATTCGAAAAATAATAAAAAAGCTGTTATTTATTATTTTTAACAGTTTCAAGGTAACCAAAATTCAATTTTTGTACCGAATTTTCTTTTAAGTGTCAACCCAAAATTTCATTTAACTAACGAGGTTCTTTGCTGTGAAGTGTTGGGCTGGTTAAGAAAGTGCCGTGCAAAAAATTTTTGAACACAATATCTAATTTAATGTGTGAGGCATCTTTGGTGTTGATTTACGCACAACAACCGTCGTTTAGACAGTGGTATTGTTTTTTGAAGCTATTTCACCAACAGTTCTGTTTAAAAAATAATTTTTTATGGAGTGATAAAATTACCCGTCAAAATGATGAAGTACTGCAATGGATCGAGCAAATGTAAACAGTTAGGTTGGCTAAAAGGGTTAATCAGTGCAAAATGTCTCATGAAAAATAGCGGTTGCAGAATTTGGAAACGGTACGGTGAAACAATAAAGCTGTTGATCTTATTTTCACTGCCTTAATTTTTCTGATTGTGGTTGGATTGTGGTTGATTGTGCAAGAAATCGATCGGACAAGGTTGCCTTGTAAAAAAAGCATCATTTTGGTTATTATCACTCGGTGAAAGCAAACATATTTGATTGGGTGGCGAAGTTTTGATTTTTTAAGGACAACAAATATTTGATTTAAGGAATTCAATGTACCCACAATACTAGTCAATGGTGGTTTGGTACAAACGTTAGTAACTACATTTATCAGTTTCATGTAAACTTTATTA